GACACTAAACATATGCCTAGTGTATTTCATTATTAAATGATCTAATGTAGTAAAAGAAACAGCAGTTTCAGCTATTTGTATATTTTTATCAGGGGTGTAAATCCGTACCGAGGAGTGGGGAGGATGATGACGCGAAGGGGCGGTCTGGGGGGAGGGGAAATTTTTTGAAATTAGACCCCCTCTGATGCGTTTTCTGCGCCCTGGACCCCTACCCCCTGTACATGCCCCTGCAGTAATTGAAATGATTTAGGTCTGCCCATGTCTCCAAATTATCATAATTAGTTGAACTTTCAAGTGGGGGACAGAGGAAGGAGTTTTTTTTTTGAATCTCAGGGGTGGGGGGATATTTGTACAGGCCATCCCCCCTCCTTCAAGAGCGGGGGGGGATGCATCCCCCCATCCCCCCGGGATTTACGCCCATGATTTTTATATTGTTATGTTATACTTATATGATATAAATATGCTGTCGTAGCAGACTGGGAGTGTTTGTTTTTGTTAACAATCAACATAATGTGATGAGAATCAAACCACTGTTCTAACACTACACATAATAAATCACTGCAATACAATACAGTACAGTAACTTTCCAATGTTGCTAGTTTGTTCATTTAATCAATTAGCAATATCTCGCTTGAGTGAACTGATGACATCAAATCAACAAGACCTGTCATGGCTTTCTCGTTGGACTTCGAACTTTCATTCAAAATCCCCTAGGCTAGAGCTTGAATTATTGCTTGTGGTTGCCAACCATTGCCAATCTAGCTAAGAATCAATGTCAGAACACCCCTCGAGCCACAAATTAGATTTTGTATTCTATGAAGCAGGATAGCATGCAGAAGCAAAAGCTAAATCGCCGTGGTATAAGTCGGTCTTAAGTCTAATTAGTAAGGTCCAGCGTAACTCAGTGAGATGTCAGAAGCTTTTGCACAATGTATCTGTGCTATTATGTTTTCTTGTATTCAAAGGTGCAGTTTGTTACTTGATGCTATACAAAGTACCATGGTGCACAATTCAACAAACCGCATGATGTCCATACCTACTATCGATGCCAAGCAGTTGAACTGCTACCTGTTTATAAAACTTGTCACGTTTTGTTGACTGTGATAATAATCTGCTGATTATGCTCATTAATTAGCTAGATGAGGTGGATTACGTGACCCGTTTTGCAATGCGATAAGTTGCAGAGAGTTATACTATTCGTTTATTGGCGTAATCAGATTTGTTCGCCCGGATTTTGTTTTAGCCGTTCGCTACTTGTTGACTGCTGCTCGCAAGAAAATGATCCTAACAATGCCATGCTAGTGTTTTAACCTACCACGCTCATCATCTCTGAACTATAATCTACTTCAGTAGTTCTAATGCAATTGCTGCGAGCCCACGCTATTGGCTCAACTAGCCTTCTTTAATTAACTATTTATTCCATCCATCGCTATCACATGGCCGCTATTGCTGTCAAGTATGCCACCAGTTGGCCATTATCGTAGTTTCAGCCACTTCAGGACTAATTACACCGACCGGTGTATACACTAATTACTCCATACATTTAATTGTGCTTACTGTACATAGTCTAGGGAACAATACTCCCTTGTGTGTGTGTGCGTGTGTGCGTGCGTGCATGTGGCTGCGTGCGTGCGTGCGTGCGTGTGTGTGTGTGAAGAGAAGGCTGTGAGTGACGTCTGGTTAATAACATTTTCCATATTCGCTCGCATTCAAAAAATACTTCGGACGTGCATGGGTGTATAACATGTTTCCACAATAGCATCGGAGCGTTGCGTTGCAAACATTCATCCAGCTTATTGTTTTGTTTCGGCTCCTGCTGTTATTTGCGTGCGTGCCTAGTGGAGGCTGCATGGTTGTTACAGAAACAAAAAACTTAATGCTTTTATATTAATATTAAATGTTAACACAATAGCATTCGCCTGTTGAGTCGCATGTACCTATCTTATTTTTTTGTTTCTGCTCCTGTTATTTGCATGCGTGACGAGTGCAGGCCCGCTGTTATCTGAAAACAAAAACCGTAACGCTTTTATTTTAATATTAAACCTTTAATTAATTTCAGGAGCTGTGGCTCTTATTAATCGACTACTGGACCAGTGCAATGTCGAAAAAGAGGTGGTCACATTGGACGAGGTCACAGCTGACCTCATCATCAACCTCCACGAAAGTCTGTTAGGCGACCCATTGATAGGCACGTAAACATGCGATACATAAGAACGGAAGTCTCGCATGGATGCATTTCTTGCGTTCGTTTCAAAACCACATTGGCAGTCGTTGCTGAATCAGAATTGCACTTTTTCCACTTTAGAAGTGTCGTTTAATCGTGTTGTTAATGATTTGGATATTAAATTATCAGATAGCATACAATATAATCAGATTCCTCTACTACTCTATTCATTTACTCCTGATATAATTTTATGGAAAAAAAATCAATCACAATGTCAAATGCTTAGTTACTGATGAACGATATTCCATTCTATAATTCTGTTGAGATATAATTCAAATGTTGAAGTTTATTTAGCCGGAAGGAATTTTATTTATTAACGCAATTGATCTGATTTTTAATTACAGTTACGATATCTTTTAATAATTAACTTCATATGTCTTCACGCCGTAACAATAAATTGGAAGCTTCGCCGTGGCAGCAGCTTCCTGCGTCCAGGGAACAATAACAATCGCATCGCGTCAACGCATCGAGCGATCAACCCGCACGTCGAAACACCGCGCAAATCCACGACGTGCGCAATTTCTGCTAATTGTCGATCGTTTTTTATTCTTCGCGCAGATGCGATCCGGAGTCCGTCGACGCAGGAGGATGACGCGCACAACGTGCAGTGCGCGATCGACTCTCTCTCGCTCGACATCCTGCACATGCCGATGTCGCACATCAACGGCGAAGACATCGTTCACGGGGACAAGGTTGCCAAGCCAAGCATAATGCGCGCGGGCATGACGTCACACACACACACGACTACAGTGATCGATCGAAAGTAGCGCCGTTAGAGATTTTCGGATGATACGTCCTCTTTACACTCTCTTAAATACATTTTTTTGGAGGGAACATTTCCTGCAGGATTTCACGAGATGTCTGGCGGGAGTAGGTAAGGACAAAGGACAGAGTTATAATTCAAACAAGTGAACATTTATCTACACATAGATAGTTAGATACCAAGATGGAAGCTGTTGGATGTGTATTCATGCTGTAAAGGTGTGAAATGAAGCGAGCGTCGAGCAAATTTTGCGATCACGCTTTCCTACCTGCTCTCTTATTCATGTTGTTTGTGCACATGGCGGGCGTGCGGTGTACTTGTGTGTTGCAGATGAGCATTTGCCCGGCATTTACATATGATTATCGGCAATAATAGGCGACATAGAGTAGAAAAACATTAAGACTTTGGTAGTAAATACATTTCGTGTTTACATTCTTTTATTTTATTGAGACGTTCCAAGTGCCTGTGGTAGGGACGAGCGTGCATGCATGCAGCCCCAGCTCCTATCCCAGTATCCGTGTAGCACCTTTGCTCTTGCTAAAGATTGTAGTGGGAGCGGAGGTGCTACACGGGTAGAGCTACGGCTCGCCTGCTACAGTACAGTACAGCTCTACGGCTACAAAGCTCATCGCCCTGCCAGTGCCACAGTTTTGTGTAATCAGCCTCTGATCTCCTACCGCATGGCTTTGTCAGTTCACTCCTCAACACGGGTAGCTGCAGTGTAAACGGTTACATTGGTAGAGCTATCGTTTCTCTAGCAGTCTAGCTCTAGTACTATAGCCCGCGTACAGTTGCTGCACAGGCAAACTTGCGCAGGCGCCTGCGGCAACTGTACGCGGGCTATAGTACTAGAGCTATCGTTTCTCCTACTGCTCTACTCCGATGCAGCAGCGTAAACCAAGTTTGTTAGACTTGCATTGTAAAAATCTACCTCTGTCTGTGGCAGAGTGACAGCTTTTACATAATAATTATAACTACACAGAACATATGCATATTCATTTATAATCTCTTAGATCATGTATACAATGGGAGATACAATATTGAAACCCTGCAGATCTCTCCAGGGTTATGATATATTATCTAAGTCATAGGAAGCCCTCTACTCTACAACACAGTCACATATCAGCCCTTCGCTCCTGTTGTGAAGCAAAGTGCAACCCAATCCTAGTTTAGCACCCCAGATTAGTTTAGAACATTTGCAAAAACACATTAGCGGTGTTCCAAACTAGGATAGTGCACAAAGGGTTACTAATGTAGAGCTAAGTCTTGTGTAGAGCTACCCTCATTCTGTCTTACTCCAGTACAGTCATCACATCAGATGACTAATTGGCTTCAAGAACTTTTCATGCTAAATGCTTTCATTTACGAGTCAGCTTGAAACTTCCTATAATATTCTAAGTCGTACCTGTGATGTATTTGCACACGTATGTCGAGCTTTCTAATAGTGGCAGTGCCTAAAACCAGTGGCATAGAAACTAAGACACTAAACATATGCCTAGTGTATTTCATTATTAAATGATCTAATGTAGTAGAAGCAACAGCAGCTTCAGCTATTTGTATATTTTTATCAGGGGCGTAAATCCTTACCGAGGAGTGGGGGGGATGATGACGCGAAGGGGCGGTCTGGGGGGAGGGGAAATTTTTTGAAATTAGACCCCCTCTGATGCGTTTTCTGCGCCCTGGACCCCTACCCCCTGTACATGCCCCTGCAGTAATTGAAATGATTTAGGTCTGCCCATGTCTCCAAATTATCATAATTAGTTGAACTTTCAAGTGGGGGACAGAGGAAGGAGTTTTTTTTTTGAATCTCAGGGGTGGGGGGATATTTGTACAGGCCATCCCCCCTCCTTCAAGAGCGGGGGGGGATGCATCCCCCCATCCCCCCGGGATTTACGCCCATGATTTTTATATTGTTATGTTATACTTATATGATATAAATATGCTGTCGTAGCAGACTGGGAGTGTTTGTTTTTGTTAACAATCAACATAATGTGATGAGAATCAAACCACTGTTCTAACACTACACATAATAAATCACTGCAATACAATACAGTACAGTAACTTTCCAATGTTGCTAGTTTGTTCATTTAATCAATTAGCAATATCTCGCTTGAGTGAACTGATGACATCAAATCAACAAGACCTGTCATGGCTTTCTCGTTGGACTTCGAACTTTCATTCAAAATCCCCTAGGCTAGAGCTTGAATTATTGCTTGTGGTTGCCAACCATTGCCAATCTAGCTAAGAATCAATGTCAGAACACCCCTCGAGCCACAAATTAGATTTTGTATTCTATGAAGCAGGATAGCATGCAGAAGCAAAAGCTAAATCGCCGTGGTATAAGTCGGTCTTAAGTCTAATTAGTAAGGTCCAGCGTAACTCAGTGAGATGTCAGAAGCTTTTGCACAATGTATCTGTGCTATTATGTTTTCTTGTATTCAAAGGTGCAGTTTGTTACTTGATGCTATACAAAGTACCATGGTGCACAATTCAACAAACCGCATGATGTCCATACCTACTATCGATGCCAAGCAGTTGAACTGCTACCTGTTTATAAAACTTGTCACGTTTTGTTGACTGTGATAATAATCTGCTGATTATGCTCATTAATTAGCTAGATGAGGTGGATTACGTGACCCGTTTTGCAATGCGATAAGTTGCAGAGAGTTATACTATTCGTTTATTGGCGTAATCAGATTTGTTCGCCCGGATTTTGTTTTAGCCGTTCGCTACTTGTTGACTGCTGCTCGCAAGAAAATGATCCTAACAATGCCATGCTAGTGTTTTAACCTACCACGCTCATCATCTCTGAACTATAATCTACTTCAGTAGTTCTAATGCAATTGCTGCGAGCCCACGCTATTGGCTCAACTAGCCTTCTTTAATTAACTATTTATTCCATCCATCGCTATCAAATGGCCGCTATTGCTGTCAAGTATGCCACCAGTTGGCCATTATCGTAGTTTCAGCCACTTCAGGACTAATTACACCGACCGGTGTATACACTAATTACTCCATACATTCAATTGTGCTTACTGTACATAGTCTAGGGAACAATACTCCCTTGTGTGTGTGTG